CTACTCATATATGCACTATCAAAACCTAATCAGTTATTTCAGTGGTATTGTTTGAGGGAGTCAAGAGTAAGATGAAATATTTTTTTACATTTGAATTAAGTGAATTAATTGTCCAGCTGACATATTTACATTCAAGCTAATTATAATTAGCCTTGCAGTGTCTCTTCCCCTTTAATCATAATCTCATTCTAAGGAAAAAAAAAAACTAGAAAGAAGGAATAGTCATACTTTAAGACTATCTGGTTGTCTTTTAGTCCTTGAAGTCTGAATGATAAGGGCTTCTTGTAATTTTTCCTTCCTCTGTCTCCTTATAGTCCCTGGGAAAACTCTTCTAGTGTCACTCTTTTAGAATCTGATTGGTTACATACATAATCACTGTGGATGAGGATAGAGAGGTAATTTATTTGCCCGTAAGCTTGTTTATTTCTGTGGGAAAAAAAAAAAATTGTGTATGATTACTAATTGTAAATGCATGCTACTTATTTAGGTGGAGCTTGAGAAACTTCGTCAGTGAAACTTTGTTTAGCACTCGAATTGTGAAATTGGTAAAAGTTGTGAAATCTGAATCCAGAGAATTGAAACTATTAAAAGGAATTTGTTTTCAGTTGTACAGATTGTTTGAAAAAATGGAGACTGACAATTGAGGAAGTAATCAAATTGAACTTGCTTCACTATTCCCACAATACACCAAAACCATTACATGAAAAATTTTCCTTTTCTATTTAATGTGAACATTAAGTACCTATTATACTAATTTTTTGTTAATCCTTTCCTTCTGTTTTTCTTTAAACTGCTGTTTGTGTGTGTGTGTGTGTGTGTGTGATTTGGGTGAAGATTTACAGACCAAATTCACTTTCCATACAGCAGTTCACATATACTTTGTCTCATGTCATTGACCACAGTTTACCACAATGCAACAGCTCCCCTCACACTTCCTCCCCATATTTACTTCTTCCCAGTGTCCATCCCTTCATACACTCCTGCCCCCTGAGCTGTCTCCCTGTGCATAAGCAGCCCTTCTTTCTCCCATGATTGTTCTCTCCAAGGAGTGTATCTACTTGAGGTAAATGTTTAACTCACATGCTGGTATTTTGTTTGGCTGGAAACCACAGGTGTGTGTTCAATTCCAGACCTGAAGGGCAGCTAGGGGCCATAGTCTCAGTGGTTCCACCAGGCTCTATCAGACCAGCAAACCTGGTCCCCCCCTTTTTTTTTTTTTTCCCCCCAAAAAGATTTTATAAACCTGTTTCTTATTGGTACACATTTGTCTTCATTTATTTTACTTGATAATCTAAAAACAAACAGCAATATTTGTTTAAAATAGATCTTTTACACTTTAGTAAAAGTTGTTTGGGGTGGTGATGTTAACTGTGTGTAAACGGAGTTTATTGAAGAATAATTTACCTGCAAGTAATAGTCTTTCTCTGTAAGGCAAACAGGAACATACATATGGTAATATATACAGTATTACTCTAACATCAACATAAGAAATAAAGAGCTGTCACATGTTCAAGAATAAAGAACTTTTAAATGTATAGATCAACAAAGAAAGTTTGATTAAATTTAACATGGAGAGTATCTTGGACAATAACAGAATAAGGTTTTCAATAAAATTATGTTGAATGGAGCCTTTAAAACCCTATCAGTAATTTTGTATGTATGGCTTTAAAGTATAATAAGTTATTTTACTGTGTAAAAAAGACTTTGTGTTTGATGCAGATACTACTACAGTGCTTTTCTGATTTATGGTTTCATTACACTGGCAAGGGAAAAATCAAATATATACCCCTCTTCAAACTGCATGTTTTACTATTGGTTTCCTTTAATGAAAATAACAGTATAGACATTGATTTAGTTTAAAGAAATGTTCATGGATTGTTTAATATATAAATGTAATTTGAATTCCGAGAATATTGTGAAAGATCTCGGGAGAAAATAATAGGAACTGAAAGTAGCATGGTCACTGTATGTTGTTAAACACATAATAGATTTAAGAAATTAATTTTTAGCAGATCACTTAAGTCTTTAAAAAAAGAAAAAAAGTAAAACTCCATTAAAAAGGCACCTAACTTGTTTTCCTTCTAAGACATTCCTGCTCAACTTGTTGGAAAGATTAACTCCTTTCTCTCAAATAAAGATTCTTAAAGCACCTTTAAGAATACTGGATGATGGTCATCCAGGCATCTGAAAGAATAAGGAGGCTATTTTCCTTTGTCCTTGACTAATTTCTGTTAAGTAAAGAGATTCTATTCCAAAGAGTAAAGATAGCTCTTTATCATTCTGCTTTGTTAATAATATTCACTGTATTAAGTGGATTTCTTTCTCACAATAGTATGAAAAATATTAATTCCTTGAGTTTCTGTAGTCTTAAATATCTTTATTATATTGTGTATGAGGTGATCTGTGTAATGTTTAATCACTGTTTTCTTTATATAAACCAGTTGGTATAATCATACTTTTCTAATTTAAGAGAGAGTGTGTGTCTGTGTATGTGTAATCTAGAAGAAAAGGCCATCATTTGAAATGATGGCACTATTTTAGTCTCTTAGTTTAGGTAATTCTAAGTTTCTAAAGTCTTGAAATTAAGTGAACAGAGAAGAAAACAAGTATACCAAATCTTCTAAATATAATACTTTGTTGCTCTTATTTATATCATTTTAAGAAAAAAAAAGTTGCAATTTTATAGATTGAGAATTATAGAAATTATATAAATATTATGGTAGAATAATGTTCCCATCTTTGTCTGACTTGAATGATTTGTTTATATATAAAGTGTATTGTCTTTAGGATAAAATTTGTACAGGATTTTTGTTTTACTTTTTATTAGTAATTAAGTGCAGTCTAGCCTCATTAACTTTCTCAACATCATAGTACAGGCAGTCCCAAGATAGGAAGAAGTTTCCTTCCTAAGTGTATCTTTAAGCCAGAATTGTAGGTAAATTGGAACAGGTGAATACAGTTCTTATTTAGCCTTACTTTAGTGCAAGAAAAAGCTTGAAGCGTTTTCAGTGATTTACAGACTGCACTAGCAGCAGGTGAAGGTGATTGTGTTGAAGAATTTGATCTAAGAAGGGATTGGTTCTGTCGTACATAGGGTTCCTGTGAATCTCCAAGGCACCTAACAATAATGGGTTGGTTCAGTCATTTCAAAGTGAGGGCAAATTTATGTAACATTAAAGGACAATTACAAGTTGCTAACCAAGGGACTGCCTGTATCCATTATTGTGGTAACTTTTGGGGCTTTTCTACATAGTACTTTTTGTCAAAGTATTTCTTAAGTAGAAATACACAGATTTTCTGTTGTGGATTAGATAAGTATAATTTTCAGCCAGTTTGCTTTCCTGCTCCTATTCTGTGAAGTTCCTTAAATCCCATGTCAGTTAGACAAGGAGCTTTTTCCTAGCCAGTTATTCCTTTTTGTCTTTCATTGTCTGACTTTTCAGTAATACTGTTGTCTATTCTCTGGTAGCATAGTGCCTAAGGCACTTGACTGCTCACCAGAAGGCTGGCGGTTCAAACCCACCAGCCACTCCTCCGAAGGAAGGTTGGGCAATCCTACTTCCGTAGTGATACTGCGTCGGAAACCCAAGGAGGGGTCGCTATGAGTCGGGGCCGACTCAACGGCAAAAAACAACATTTAAGACCATTGTGCTAAAAAGAGAATTCTATAATGTGAGGATTTCAGAGAAAATATTCACGTATTATCTGATTTTTTTAAAATTGTGATCTGGGTGAAAGTTTACAGAGCCGGTTGGTTTTCCATTCAACGATTCATACACATTTTGTTTTGTGACATTAATTACAATCCCTACAGTGTAGCAGCACTCTTCCCACTTCCTCCCTGTGTTTATCATTTCCATTTGTCTTTCTTTCCTGTAGCTAATATTTTTTTTGTCATAGCATCTATTTTCATTGGAATTTGGATTAGAGTACATGCCCTTTCAAAGCAGGGAAAGAATTAAGAGTCAAATTTCAGATTGGCACTTCTGAGATAGAGATAGATAGATAGAAGCATTAACATACCAAAGGAAGAATACCATTGAAAAAAAGTAGCCAGCAGAATTTCTGCATGTTTTGGTGTGGAAAGTGACATAGTAAAATAAAAAGAGCCACTGGTTTCAGAGTCCTAATTTTGTATCAGAAGCCCTGATAGCACAATAGTTAAGGGTTCAGCTGCTAACTGAAAGGTTGGCAGTTCAAACTTACCAGATGCTCCTTGGGGAAAAGATGTGGCAGTCTGTTTCTGTAAAAATTGCAGCTTTGTAAACCTATTTATAGGAGCGGTTCTGTTCTGCCCTGGAGAATTGCTGTGAGTCGACTCTATGACACCCAACAACAGTGTTATCTCATGTCCTGGCATTGTCCCTTACTTAAATACTTAACCTATCCAGTGTAGTTTTGGAATGGATATATAAATTGGATACGATAATATCGTCTTTACCTATACTGCAGGGTTGTTGAAAAGTCAGATGCTATTTAGCTGTTGTAGTAAATAATGCATAGTTATTGCCACATAACCGTTTTTCCGTCTTCAGTGGTGTCTTCATTGATTATCTTTAAAATTCTGTGATTTCTTACCCTGATACTAATGAGAGAGTAAGTCTAGCAAGTGGTGGAGAGGCAGGGAGAGAGAGTTGTAATAGGCTAGTATTTCCCAAATAATAGTTGGTTTATAGCAAGTATTATTATTATTATTATTATTATTATTATTCATCCCTACATAATCCAGAGATAACCCTAAAAATACAGGTACAGAGCTTTGGCTTATTCTTAAAATGTGGTTAGGGTTTAACTTTGAAGATGTAATGATCTGTCAGGATTTCACTTGCATCTTTTTCAGTGAACAACTTGATATGATTCTGTTCATCATTCATCTTACTCATTATTTGATCAGTGCCTTCAGGTTGTGAGATGTTTAATATAGTAAACTCTACAGAGTGCCATGTAATCTTCTTTATGTGTATTTCTCATTCATATTTTGAAATCTTCCTTTTACACAGGACTTTGCCTCCCGGGCTAAACTGGCAGTTCAAAACCTAGTGCAGAAGGTTGGATTTTTTGGAATTTTGGCCTGTGCTTCAGTAAGTGAATTGTATTAAAAGTGAGAAATTTCAGTAAATCATGTTTATTTCTTAAAAAATATGTTTCTATTTTGATCTATTTGGTTTTAAAGATGGACTGTGAAATGAACAAAAAGGCCTTCACTTTTATTGGGTATGTAATTTTGTTAATTTTTCATTCTACTCATTAAATGAGCTATTTTCTGTTGGATGGATCTTTTTACTTTTAAGCATTTCATCACATGATGAATTCAGACCTAAGTGCCTTGATTCAGTAAGAACAGAAGAGACAGAAAACTGTCCTTCCTGTGAAGAATGCATAATGAAGTACAGTTTGCCAAATAATGGTGACCTCGTTCTTTCCACAGAGTTGTATGTAGGTAGCCTTTTTTCCTGAGTTTCAAGGATTAGTCAAAAGGAAGAATTCATATGAAAACTGTTTTAGCGACATTAACTTCTGGCTAGGCAATGGCAGCGTCTGTTGCTGTGTTAAAGATGTCTTTGGCTACAGACATTTATATCTAAAATTTAAGTAAGGTCTTAAAGTTCATATTGTAAAATTGACATTCTTTGAAGAGTCATTGTTCATCCTGGTTCTTTTTTAGCATAATGGATAAGTATTTGAGATAGAGCACTAGGCAAAGTATTCTTTTGTAACCCGAGCACATTGGCCAGAATGACTAGATACCTAGTTAATATGATAATAGCTGTAATTATAAGTAAAATTCACAAAATTATTGCCTAGTGAGACGTAGCTCCTTTCTCCATTATGTACTAGAATATAAATATATCTTGCATGTCCCTGCTCCAACAAAACAAATGACCAAAAAAGACATTTGATCCCAAAGTTTGTGATGTGATGTCACTATTATAAAGAGATACATGTGTCTGAATTACTGTCTTCTGACCGGGGCAATGCTAAGAATTTTTCATAATCTAACTTTTTAATGCAGAAGCTCTGTTTCAGAATATTGATCTCAACTGTTTGAGCAAGTTATGGGTGTGTTTAGTATAATATAGTGGAAAGAGAATGGGCTTTGGTGTCAGGCAGACTTGGGTTCATAAACTTATCATGCTTCTTAATAGGTATGTGAACTCAATCAGGTTACTCCTTGAGTTTTCTCATTTTTAAAATGGAGCCATATAGTTTTCTTGCAAAGGCAATGTGAGGATTTAAAAATGATAATATATGCGAAATGGCTAACATAGCACCTAGACCGTAAATGCTCAAAAACTGCTAAGCATTTTTATTCATCAACTTTGTGTCTACTGTTGTATGCTGGGAATCAAGAAGTATGGAAGACAAATTCCCTCTCCTCAGGGAGACTAGTCTTAGTGAGAGATAATTGAAATACAGTGATAAGTAAACAGTGCTGTGGGAGCTAAGAAGAATGGAATTGAGCTGAGAGGCCTAATACATAATAATGTCTTAGTTTAGAGGCTAAGAGTAAAGCCTTGCTGGGTTCAAATCCTGCTGTATTATTTATTCTTGGTAAGTTGCTTAACCTACTTATCTCATTTTTTTCCACTGTAAAATGGGCTTAGCAATACAATATAATAATGTTGTGGGGAGTGGGTGAGTTATTGCATGTTGTTGTTAGTTGCCGACAAACAGGGCTTTGAGTTGATGAAGCAAAACCAGAACAGTCTCAGATTTGTAAAAATGTGGGTGATCTGAACACTAATTGGAACAGGAAAACTCATGGGTGGAAGCTATGGAATGGGAGACTGAGAAGAGGCTTTGTGAGCCCTTTCAGGAGCCTGGTGCATGACATTGCATTATTGCCAGGACTGTGGAGAGTCACATACATGCAGAGTGGCATGGTCAGCCACCATCTTTGAGCCCAGGCTCCATTGTTTTGGACTCGGCAAGCTCTGGTGGAGTAGGGCCTAAGGCCTTTGACTGCTAACCAGAAGTCTGGTGGTTCAAACCCACCAGCCACTACTCAGAAGGAAGATTAGGCAATCTACTTCCATAGAGTATACTGACTTGGAAACCCAAGGAGGGGTTGCTACGAGTCGGGACCCACTCGACAGCAATGAGTTAGTGAGTAATCAAGCAATTAGGTTGATACGCAACACACACACTGCCCTTGTTTACTAAGAGGGAGATTAAGTTTCTAGCAGGGCTTCGACTTACAATTTTTCCCATTCCAGTTAACATTCCGGTTCACAAACATTTAAAAAATTTAAGTCTGTTAAGGTGTCAGTTCTTCAGCCATGTCTGAACTGAGCTGAACTAGTTAGAAGCCCTTTTGTCAAATCAATTCCAGCTCATAGTGAATACCTGTAGAGTCCTTAGAAAAGTACCTGACAAGTCAGAGCCATCCATTTTATTTCATTATTCCTAAGGGTAATGCAAGTAGAACCATAAATCAAATCCTCTGCCATCCATAAAGACCCTACAGACAGAGTAGAACTTCCCCATAGAGTTTCCAAGGCTTTACTTTTTTACAGAAGCAGACTTAGATCTTTGCAGCAACTGGCGGGTCCAAACCGCTGCCAGCCTCTTGCTTGGCTGCTGAGTGCTTTAACCACTGTACAACCAGGGACCTTTATAATGCAGGTAGCTAGGAAAATTCTCCTCACTTTTGATTTCTTAAAAGCATCTGTCCTGACTACTAAAAATCCCATTTTTATACTAGCTTCTCTTCCTTATATACAACTAGAGATAGTCACTTTAACATAAATTGATGGGTCCATTTGTCCTTCTGGGAAGTTTTTAATACTTATATTTCTGCATACTTAGTTTAAGGTAAAAGGAGGTTTAGTTTATAAGTTATTTTATCATTAACATTTAAACTAAGATGAATAAAATGCCTTGTTGAAAGAAAAATACAAAGCAACTGCAGAGATCTGTTAAAACCAGTTGTCCTTTCTGTATATTTAGTTAGCATTTGAAAAAAAAATAATAACTAGCATGCACATCTGACAACAAGTTCATTGATTATGCTCTTCTGAGAGTTTCCAGCATAATCTGACTTGTCCACCATTTTAAAGAGTTCTAATTTTGACGTACTCTGATGTGTATATTGTGCATCCTTTAAATTCATTTCTGTTTCAGCATAAGTTTTAGCTTGGAAATGACAAAGCTTAAATTGTTGTAATTCATAGAGTTGTGAGAATCACATGAGAAAAATACAATAAATGGCATGGCAGATTGATGCTGTGCAAATGATACTGTTATGATTGTAAGAAGACAGATGCAGTTGCATGAAGCATTTGAATTTGGATGAGAAAAACGAGTTATGGACTCCAAGTGTTACTAACAAAAGAATATTTTAGTTTTTATTTAGGCGTGGTATTGTTTTTCAACAAACATATACAATAAATACTTTTTAAACAACTAGGGTTTTCTTTGAAATTTTGAAAATGAAGGTATATAAATTAATTGGCTTTTAAATAGTTCAGCCAACTGGCACAAGAGCAGATGACTACTGTGCGAAAAAAAGAAAAATGGACAAAGTGCTTAAAGGCACCTTGTGGTTCCTTTGCATTTGCACGAAACTGTCTTTTAGCGGTCTTGAAATGTGGAAATGTTTGGAAAAGATAATTATTGCGAATCACCCAGTCTGGGACTGGGTATTCAAAACATCTCTCATATTTCCACACTTGATTTTCTTTCTAAAATATATCACATGGCCCCATGGCTTTGGGCTTTCATATAATAGAAATAATTTTTTATGTTGAAAAATAAAAGCACAGTAACAAAACCAAATGTGTATAAATTGTTGAGTGGAAAACTAATTTGCTCTATAAACTTTTACCCAAACCACAATGAAAAGTTGAAAAATAAACAGAAAAGCACATTCGCCAATATGTTCGTTAATTTACAAGAATATTTGCTAAAAAGATGTGAGTACTTTCTAGATAATATTCTTACTTCTTTGTAAAGATTTTAGAACCCTAATACCTATTGAAAAAATCTTAAGACTCTCTTCATTCATATCTCATCTTAGAAAACAGCCACGAAATGGTCAAATACCTCTTGAGTGGGATTAAATTCCTAAGGATCCATTGGATTTATCCAGTTCTAGTGTGATAATTAGAAAAATATGGGCATTAACCTTAAATATATAAGCAAAAGTACAGCTGGGTTGCAGGGAACAGATTGAACAGACCCTGAAATGAACGAGATCCAGCTTATAAAGACACTTGCCTAACCTCATTCTGAACAGTCAGGAACTGACCAGGGAACCCACGCCTCACTTTGCAATGTAAGCAAGGTTTAGAGCAGAATGCCACATACCAATAGGCAGTAAACTAAAATTATTATTTTGGTTATATATAGAAATCCATTTTAATTATTTTTTTCTCTTTTTAGATTCCAAATCCTCTATTTGATCTGGCTGGAATAACATGTGGACACTTTCTTGTACCTTTCTGGACCTTCTTTGGTGCAACCCTGATTGGAAAAGCAATAATTAAAATGCATATCCAGGTAATTATACCCCCTGCTTCCCTGCCTGATGATGATGATAGACTGAAATATATTTCACTTGATCATTTCAAAATAGTAGTTCTTCTTTTGGTTGATAGCTTGCTTAGGTATTGAAGCATGGGATGTCATTGGAAAGTTTGTGAATTCCCTGCGAATCCCCTGTCACTTTATTGGATCCCTGTATTATGTTCCTGCTTGTTTTCTTTCCTGCTCTTTTCTTCCTTGCCTCCCTCCTTTTTTCCTTCCTTTCTTTCTCTCTTACTTTTTGTATTGTCAAACTGTTTACGCAAGATGAATTAAACAAAAATAATGTTCCTGTATAGGAAAAAGCACATCACTTTCATATACATAGCAAAAAAATCTTGTTTCTTTACCGACCCCAAGCTGAGAGAATATTGCCTTTCACTAATAATTATTTTCTTTCACATACCCTATATAGTATTTCCTCTCAAGGCACCAATATCCCTTACTGAAAACTAGCCATATGTTCGTGTGGGGAAGAATGAGGAAGAAAGGATCTCTAAAGGGGTGAGGAGATGTGGGTTATGGTTAGAGAAGTGAGAATTAGCTGGTTCTCAAAGTCACTCTTATCAAAATCATGGGGATAATTATGTATATGTGTAATAAAGGAGAGAGAAGAGAGAAAAGAACTTAAGGGAAGTAGACATGTGTTTCTAGATCTGTGATACAAATTATTTCCTTCTAAGGGGCAAATCTCAGTAGAATAAAATTAATCTGGAAGGAATTTGTTTTAAATAGTGAGGTTTTCAACAAAGAGAGACATTTCATTAAAGGAAGGGCAGAAACAGTGAAGTAATGTCTCTGCCCTGGTATCCCTTCATAATAAAAAGTACAACTACCCCCAAGTGTCTTCTTAATACCTCTCTAGTTCCAATTCTTGGGGAAAAAAATGAAAGAGGAAAACTCCAGCTGCTGCTACCTGCTCAGTTTCTAATCTTAGGTTTGGATTTGGAATCAGTTTATTAAGTCTGTCCTCTACTCTCTCACTATAATAACCACCTAGAAATTCAAAGATAAGTTTTTCCTCCTTCAAGGAATGTATTTTTCCTCACTAAAATTAAACATGTTATGTAACAATTACAGGTTTTTAAATATTAGACTGCAGCATACATTGGTAAAGATTTAAAACACATACAGTTAAAGGATTTTTCACATAATATTGAATAATTATTTTTACAATGTACTTGAAGGTAATATTTTTTGCTAATCTTTTTCATTCTTTCTGGAGAAGGATGAAAGCAATCATTTAGCTCGTTGGAATCTTTTGAAAGTATTAATGCCTAAGGAACAATAACAGATTTTTAATTTCTTCCTTAAAAACAGGAACTTCTCTAGAAATCTATAAACTTTATACATGCAGCTATATACCACTTGAATGTAGTAACTTTCTGAAAATTGTCATAAAACTTATTATGCTAAAAGTATCCTTATGTCCTTACAGAGATATAGGGTAGATTTTCCATTCTTCCTTCTGAGGAGTGGCTGGTGGGTTTGAACCGCCAACCTTCTGGTTAGCAGTCAAATGTCTTAGGCACTGCACCACCAGAGCTCCCATATAATGTGTGTTGTTGTCGTTATGTGCTGTCAAGTCGGACCCAACTCACAGCGACCCCTCCTTGGGTTTCCAAGGCAGTTTCACTATGGAAGTAGATTGCCCAACCTTCCTTCTGAGTGGCTGGTCGGTTTGAACCGCCAGCCTTCTGGTTAGCAGTCAAATAAATGCCTTCAGCACAACACTACTAGAGCTCCCCTGTAATGTGCAGGACCTTTCATTTCAGAAGATTCAAAACTAGTAAATTTCTAAACTTTCTCATTAGTTTTTTTTTCAGTTATAATAATGCTAAAATTTTTTGTATCATGCTTCACATTTTAAGGCACTTGTTGTTGTGTTGTTATGTGTCGTTGAGTCAGACCCGACTCATAGCGACCCCTCCTTGGGTTTCCGAGGCGTTATCACTACGGAAGTAGATTGCCCAACCTTCCTTCCAAGAAGTGGCTGGTGGCACTTAGGATACACCATATGATTTAATTCTTGTAATCCTGGGATAAAGAAATTACTCCATCCATTTTATAAATGTCAAATTTAGAGAGAGGTTAATAAAAAAAGTTGCCTACAAGAGTAGTTAGGAGTCCCTGGCTGGTGCAAATGGTTGAAAGGTTGGACTTGAACTCAAGCCCACCCAGAGACTTCTTGGAACAAAATCCTGGTGATCTGCTTTCAAAAATTCAGCCATTGAAAAATTTATGGAACACCATTTTACTCTGACACACACAGGTTTGCCATGAGTTGGAATCAACTCTGCAGCAACTAGTAAAATTTAAAAAAAGAGAGAGAGAGAGAGAGAGAGAAAGAGTAATTAACAGCTGGTACTTGCACTTACATCTTTTTGGCTTACATTCAAGTGTTCTTTCCATCCTTTTGCTTTGCCTTCTTAACTGTAAGTTACTTTTATATGCTTAAGGAGATGAATTTGTTTAATGGCTGTTATTTATCAGAACCTGTGCTAGGTAATTTGCATATTTTATCTCAGTGTCAGAATAATCCTTGGAGGTTGATTATTATTCACGTTTCATAGATAGGGGAACTGAATGTTAGAGAAGTAAAATAAAGTATTTGCCTAAAGCCCTGGAAATCATACCAAGCTCTATAAAGCTGATGCTTTTTTCTGTGTGCCCATATGGAAGAGGGAAAAAAAGAGAAAGCTAAAATCCGTTTATGTCACCGAAAGGAAAGAATCTAAGTTCCTTCACTAAACTGAAACCATGGGATATGTTTGCTATGTTCCATTGTATCATAATGACATAATTCTAAAGGCATGTCACTTGATGTACATCCAGATGTAGCTTAGGGCAACAAACATTTCTCATTCCTTGGGTAAGCAATTTTAGTAAGTAATAGAAACATTTAACTATTTCTGAAATAATAATGAGAGAGAAACCCCATACATAGGCTTTTCTGTATTCTAATAAAGCTATTTTCTTTTAGTTTTCTTTCTTCCCTTTTTCCTCAATAGATAACCTTCCTTTATAAACATTGTTATTTTTATTCTGCCTTGCTATCTGTTAAGCTTCCCCTAAAAATTTCACATCCCCCCACCTAATTATGTTACATAAGGATTTTCCCTTCTTGACCCACTGGACAGGTTCACATCTTCTGCCTGTAAAAGGACCCTTAGAGACGTTGTCTTCTTCTAAGAGAAGTTCATAATACTTCACATATCAGATCATGCTTATTTATTGCCTCCCTACCTCTCTCTGCCACTAGGCACGTGCATATACACACACACAGAGAGAGAGAGAGAGAGAGAGAGAAAGAGAGAGAGAAAGGAATATAAGCTTCTTGAGGACAGGGATTTTTGTCCTATGTTCACTAAGACGATAGATTAGTGCCTGGCACATAGCTGTTGTTACTAGTGGCCAACTTTTCAGCTAGAAGTTCAGTGCTTAACTGTGCCTCCCAGGGACTCCTGACAGTAGGCATTCCATAAATATTTTTTAAATTAATCAGTGTAAGATTTTCCTTTCTGGCAAAGGATGTTTCCTCTATAGTCACTTTCTTCTTTGTTGATTCTGATATCTTAGCTCCCAGCACCCCTCTTAAGATCTTTCCTTCCTCCTTTATCCTCTCCCTTGTTTACTCTGTGCAGGTGGTCAGATGGGCTGTGCCTTTTTTGTTTGTTTGGTAGAATCTCCATTCAGACCTGCAGCTTAAAAGACTATAAGACAACATCTTCTTTTTTTGGGGGGAGGGGGGTTATTATTATTTATTTTATTGTGATTTGGGTGAAGATTTACAGAGCAAATTCATTTTCCATACAGCAGTTCACATATACTTTGTCTCATGTCATTGACCACAGTTTACCACAATGCAACAGCTCCCCTCCCACTTCCTCCCCATAGTTACCTCTTCCCAGTGTCCATCCCTCCATACACTCCTGCCCCCTGAGCTGTCTCCCTGTGCATAAGCAGCCCATCTTTCTCCCATGATTATTCTCTCCAAGGAGTGTATCTACTTGAGGTAAATGTTCAACTCATATGCCTATATTTTGAGACAACATCTTCTTCAATGTCTGACATATTTGGTCTTGCCCAGCACAGTGAATTTTCAAGCTGTTACATATAAAAGAAAATCTTACTTTGTTTTTGAGCAATGAAATTGTGCAATTATCTAGGCATTGACTTACTTGGAATGTTAGGAAATGATGGTAGGGAAAACTCGTGGTGAAATCACTGAGAGGCCAAACCATTAGCTCTGTGTATTAGTTAAAGCTTTATAGCTACAAGTAACTGGCTTTTAATATGGATACTAGAAGGTCCCTAGATCTTAATACTTTTTGCCCTAAATGATCTGTAGTTAGTTCATAATTGTCTTATTGTTAGCTTCATAACCTTCATATACTACTTGTTTATCCTGCTTTATAAAATCACCCATCTTCTGTTTGACATCTTTATATGCTTACTTTTTCCTTGAGATAGCTGAATATCTTACTCAAATTAAAAGGTATATTTAAAAAAACACCAAAAAGAGCTGTGAAGTTTTTTATTCACTTTTATTTCCTTGGGTATATCCACCATGCAGCTACCAATGTTGCTGCTGCAATTAGATGTCATTCACTATCAGTCTTCTCCCTTAATGCTTTGGTCTAACCTAGTCACTTTTTTGAGATTCATAACGGGTGACTATAAAGAAGACTGTTGGTGTTTTGTTTTATTTCCTTCCTCTGCCCTTTGATTACATAGGCTGTGGTATTTAAAGTTGTATGTCAACCTGGCTGGGTTGTCGTTTTGAATGGCTTGGCAGCTGGATGTAGTTATTCCCCCATGGTGAGATTGTAATCACTTCCATGGTAGAATCTGCTGTTAGCAGCTAAGTAGTTGAAGGGAAGTTAACCTTTGGGGTGTGGCCTGCTACTAATATATATGGAGAAGCTTTAGGAAAAGTCTCTATGCTTTTTGGCACATTTGGATCTTGCATTTGGCTGTGTCTTCATGTCCAGTTCCTGGACTGAACCAGTGGCCTGCCGTGTGGCCTGCTGATCTTGGGATTATACCATTTTACTTGCCAATCTTGGGTTCATCAGCCTCAGCAGCCAGCAGCTGCATAAGTTAGGTAGTGCTGAAGCCTAAGTTTGAAGGACCTTCCCCCAGCCCCTAGAGCTGCCACTCTGAATTCAAGTTACTAGCCTTCTAAACTGTGAAAGAATAAATTCCTGTTTGTTAAAGTCATTCATTTGTGGTACTTCTATTATGGCAGCACTAGAGAACTAAGACATAGGCTAAAGTAATTGTTCAAAGACAATAGCAAAGCAGTAAAGTGTTGACTATCAGGAATTTGGAGAGAAAACCCAGAGTTATTCATATTTAATCAGAAAATTTTTATCCATCCTTTGAAGGATCATCATTTAAATATCATTTTCTTGAGTCTTTTGTTAATTGTACAACTAAATGTAGCCTCTCCTTTCTCTGAACCTGTATAGCATGTTTTTACTCCTGATGATATTAATAACTTTCTGTTTTTGTAATTACCATCTTTCTCCATTTTATAGAAAATTTTGTAAATGTCTTCAGGGCCCTGAAGAAGTATCTTTCTCATCTTTATATTCCCTGAAAACACTAAACAATACCTTATATCATTCTTAGAATGTATTTGAGGTGACATTGGTTGAATTGAGAATATTTGCTACTTATTAGCCCTAAAGACATCTTTACTTGTGAGTAAAGTAATGTATCAACATCTTTAATGAATGGAAAGTGTTTCATTAATGGATTCTGTAATGTGGATCATATGGTGCAAACTGTTAAGGTGCTCTGCTGCTAACTGAAATGTTGGCTGTTCAAGTCCACCCAAAGGTGCCTTGGAAGAAAGGCCTGGTAAAAAAAAAAAAAATCAGCCATTGAAAACCCCATGAAGCCCTGTGGCTTCCAGCCAAACAAAAGACAGGCATATGAGGTAAACCTTTACCTAAGGTAGATACACTCCTTGGAGAGAACAATCGTGGGAGCAAAAAGGGCTACTTATGTACAGGGAGACAGGTCAGGGGGCAGGAGTGCATGGAGGGATGGACACAGGGAAGAGGTAACCATGGGGAGGAAGTGGGAGGGAAACTGTTGCATTGTGGTAAATTGTTAATGTCATGAGACAAAGTGTATGTGAATTGCTGTATGGAAAGTGAATTTACCCTGTAAAATTTCGCCCAAATCACAATTAAAAAAAAAAAAAACGTGAAGCACAGTTCTGCTGTAACACACATGGGGTTGCCATGAGTTAGAATCAACTCCTTCACCACAGCTGTGGTTGTTTTTTGCTTTGTTTTTTAAACTTCATTAATACCAATTGAAAAGTTCCCACATCTGATGAGTAGCTCTTCCTAACTCTGAAAGCCCAAACTCATTCATGGTCTGAAAATGGAACTTTCGGGTTACTGCTCTAAAAACCTTCTATGGAGGATGTACAGTCTTCATGATCCTCTGGGTTAGATTTAGCCCAGTCCCTGTCATCAGAGTGATCAGCTTTAATTTCAGTGGTGGGAAACTGTATGGGAACCCATGACCCATGACTTTAGTCTGTGTATACCATCCTCAGATACAGAGAACATGTAGAATGTCCACCATTCCTTCCCAGTCTTAGGTTTCATGACTCATAGTTTCCCTCAGACATGGTTATGTATCCTAGTAAGAATGGTATGCTTGGGAAAGAAAATCTTTAAAATGCAAAGTAGGTAGTATTTGTCACTCAAATAATGCCTTTCATTTTATCTTAAAATAATTTTAAGAAATTGTGATAGAGTAAGAACCGCACCTTTTTAGACTGTTGATAGAATTGTTCATGTTGTTGTTGTTATGTGCCGTCGAGTTAGACCCAACTCATAGCAACCCCTCCTTGGGTTTCCGAGGCAGTGTCACTACAGAAGTATATGGCCCAACCTTCCTTCCAAGGAGTGGCTGGTGGCTTTGAACCACCAGCCTTCTGGTTAGCAGTCAAGTGCCTTAGGCACTACACTACCAGAGCTCTTAGAATTGTTCTTTTATATATATCTATCTATATCTATATCTATTTATATCTATATATATCTATATCTATAGATACATCTATAGATATATATATGAGTAAATATTTTTTTATTATGATTTGGGCAAAAGTTTACAGAACAAATTCACTTTTTCATACAGCAGCTCACATACACTTTGTCTCATGACATTGACTACAATTTACCGCAGTGCGACAGCTCCCCTCCCACTTCCTCCCCATAGTTACCTCTTCCCTGTGTCCTTCCTTCCATGCACTCCTGTCCCCTGAGCTCTCTCATACACAGCTCTTCTATTCTCCCATGATTATTCTCTCCAAGGAGTGTATCTACTTAATGTAAATGTTCAGCTCATATGCCTGTCTTTTGTTTGGCTGGAAGCCACAGGAGTGGGTTCAATTCCGGACCTGAAGGACAGCTAGGGACCATAGTCTTAGTGGTTCCATCAGACTCTATCAGACCGGCAAACCTGGTCCTTATTTTTTTTTTTTTTTAATGATTTTGAGTTTTGTTCCACATTGTTCTCCCACTCTATCCACAATCTCCTACAAAAATCCCCCTCCAAGTGGTTGACATTGGTAGCTGGGCACCATCTAGTTCTTCTGGTATCATAGTCATATAAGCTGAGGACTACATGTGTACCAGTCTTTTGGACTAATTGTTTCCATGAATCTTTGGTTTTCTTCATTCTTTGCTCTGGTTGAGGAGAGACCCATCTTTGCGTCTAAATGGCCGCTTGCAAGCTTTTAAGATCCCAGTTGCTATTTGCCAAAGTAGGATGTGGAACAGCATTTTGTGTAGTATGTTATGCCAATTGAGCTTGATGTCCCCTGCAACTATGGTCCTGAGCCCACAGGTCCAACTGCTCATTCCCTCTGGGTAGTTGGCTGTGGCCAAGAAGTGACTACAACCTTGTCCCTTGTCTGTCTGCTCTACTGTATACCTGGGAATTCTTAAGGAACATACCAATACACTTGTAGATACATTGTCTGCCAACCCTATACATTGTCTTGGGCATGCTCCCCCCTGCGTAGACATACCTACTCATTCAGCCTGTTCACCCATCTATCCACCCATATATCTATGTTTGCCCTCACTGACAGTGCAGTACTGTAAGTGCAGAAGGGTTTATCTTTGTTGTCTGTACCTCCTATGCACTTCTCTGTGTCTTCCTCTGTAAGAATAAATATTTATTTTAACTGAGGTTTTCCCTTTTCTTTCAGAAAATATTTGTTATAGTAACATTCAGCAAACACATAGTGGAGCAGATGGTGGCTTTCATAGGGTGAGTAATTCTTTAAAGGAGTAATATTAATATCATCACTGTTTGAATAAGAGGAAGTGTGAAGAATGAGCCAGAGTAGGATTTTCATGATAGCTCTTTATTTTTTGAGAAGCAAAAATCATTTGTCTTGTTATTAAGTTGAAGAAGTCCCTTCTTGCCCTGTAGCAGGGAAGGTTGATACTCAGGTTATCTTTTGTGTAAGTTTCAGCGGAACATGTATCAAGCCATGTAATTTTTGATTTAAAAGAACCTGTGGGGCTAATGGCCCATAAGAACTACAGCTGCTCCTCTAGCCTGAGACCCAAAGAACTAGATGGTGCCTGGCTACCACTCTGACTAGGGATGCAATAGAAGGCCCTGGTTAGAATGGGAGAAAAAATGTAGACCAAACCTCAAAGTCATAAAAAAAAGAGCCAACTTACTGGACTGATGGAGACTAGAGAAACTCCAAGATTATCACCGTAAACACCCTTTTAACTTGGAACTGAAGCTACTCCCAGAGGTCACCTTTTAGCCAAGTAATAGATTCATTGGCTTATAAAATCGGTAACACCTGTGAGGAATCCTTAGCCCACTGAACTATACAACACTGAGACTGAAGGGGCAACATTTGCCCAAAAGCAAAGCTGAGAAGGCAAGGAGGGGCAGAGAAACTAGAGAGATGGAAACAGAGAAGGCAGGGTGGGAATGAGGAGGATGCTGCAACATTAGGGGTGAGGGTGGATAGCAATCAATGACACAGAACAATTTGTATATAAATTGTTGAATGCAAAACTAATTTGCTGTGTAAACTTTCACCTAAAACACAATAAAATGTGAAAAAAAAAAAAGGTAAAGAAGGAAATAAGAAGTTAAAGAACTTTGGAGGTTTGAATATGTAGCTCCTCCAAAGGAATAAGGAATCTTCTTTATTTAAAGAAACATGTGTATCATTATAGTTTAATGGCACTTTAGTTCAAGGCTTTGACATTTGACCAAAATTGGGTGGCAGATACACAGTTGCATTTCATTTAAATATAAAACTTACTTCAGATTTTAATATTTAATGAAATATTGCATAATGTGCAGACATCTGGGGATGGGATGATAAGGTAGTATATAGCATTACCAAAATATGTCAGTTATAAACTACTTACTTCACTAGAAAAAGTAGGTCATTTTAAAAGGCTAACCTATCCAAAGACCAGTTTTAGCAGATGATGTAAGTGGTAATGTCACAAAGCATGGAGTTTACTTTGATTAAATGGTTAAGAAAAGACCGGTTTGTTTGGTTAATCAATTTAACTTTCTATTAGAATGTGAAAATAGTAGTTATTAAATTGAAATAAAGCTAATTTTTTTTTGTTGTTGTTGTTGTTGTTGTTTTAATCTTTCATGTATGATGTTTCTATTCGGTGTTTAGAAAAGAGAGCTTACTTTTCATTTAATAGTACACCTACTCAGTGGTGAAAAATGTCGAGATGCCTTCTGTTTAATTCTAACTTAGATCTTTATTTTCTTAAGCGTCTTGTAGAACAAAACTGAAAATTAAGCTGTTTAAAAAATTGCCGTTTGGTGGTGAATTCAGGGGTATTTTTTTATTATTATTTTTATTTAAACTGTACATTATTCATTATATTCACTTTTCTATATATATAATATCTTGCCAATAAAATAGTTTTTAATGATTTTTTCTTAAAGTTTAGGCTTTAAATTCACAATTAAAGAAAAACATATTCTTGAGAATGTATTAAGTAGAGCCAGCCAGTGGCTTTATTACTTCCTACGCTTCTGATTATAAATGTGGATCATAATTTGTGCATTAATATTAAATTACTCGACTTTGGGATTATGTTTTAAAGCTATTTTCCAGTTTATTTATTGAATATAATTTGCCTCAAAAGTATTGAAAGACAAGGATGTGCCAAAATAAACACTGAAGTAATTTGCTTCCTGAATCCTTACACATAAAGTGCCTTGTAAGTTACCCTGTATCACGTTCAAAGAGGAGGAAGGAATATTCTTGCCACTTATTTTTTTAAAATACTAAGGAAGGCATCTTTCCTTAGAGATAATTACTCTACCTTGAGAGAACCCTGAATTGAAGGACACATAGCTGACTACTACATAAACCACACATTTGAGGAATAATGGGAATAATGGTACATACAACACCCTGCATTCTTACCTTTTCCTTTCTCCGTAATGAACATTTATAAATGGATGGATTTTTGGCTACCTTTTTTGGTTCGTTCTACAGAACAAACAGAGCTGTCTTGGAAGAAGTACAGATGAAACTGTTCCTTAGGAGGGATGACGGCAAGCCTTCATCTTACATACTTTGGACATGTTGTCTGCAGGGACCAGTCCTTAGAGAATGACATCATGCTCAGTAAAGTAAAGGGTCAGTGAAAAGACGAAGATTGTCAATGAAATGGATTGACACAATAGCTATAACAATAAATTAAAACATAGTGATGATGGAGGATTCACAGGACCAGGCACTTTTTCCTTTAGTTGTACATGGGTGCTAAAAGGGCAGGGAGGCCACATGTTCTGACCTCCTCTAACCTTACAAGAGGAAGACAGGATTACCAGCAGTAACCCAAGGCCTATTACTGCCAGGCCAGACATGCTGCCTCCCTCTAGCCCTTTCTCCAACCGTTCCTCCCAAAGCACCCACCACCTCTCTCCTGGGTTCAATAATTCGCTGCAGTG